TCTTCATCTATTTATTTCCTGGTTTCAACCATCACATAATTCTCAGCCTGTTGTCTCTCTAGGGACTTGTATCACCTGTGGGTGAGCAGGGCAGCTCCCTGCCAGTGCTGCTGGGGAGATGGCCATGCTTCCATCCCTGTCCTGAGCCTCATCTGGCAGAGGCTGTGGGGCCTGTGCCAGGGTCCCCCTTGGCTCCCAGCTCATCATCTTGTTGCTTCCACCACAAGCCCTGGCCCTCAGATGCTGCAAGGTCTTGCCCCTGTGGCTCCCCTAGATCTTGCCCCCCTTCACTCCCCCAAACCCTGCCTGCCTGTGACCCTGGGCTCCATAACTACCCCCAGCCCTGGGGCTCCTCAGCGTTGACTCCCACCCCCTCCCCACCCAGCCTCTGGGGCATCTTCATGACTCCCCATCTCTGTCCCAGCTCCAAGACCCCATGTCATGTCCCTGCCCTGGCTCTGTGTCACCCTGACATAGCCCCATGGTGACCTGCGGCACCCACAGCACTTCATAAGGGACAACTCCCTCCATGAGGGATGTTGGTGGACCATCTGCCAGGGCTCTGTGAGCACCAGCAGGTCTTAGTGGCCCCGACCAACCTCACCCTCTGCTCATGGCTCTGTAGGCTCCATTTAACGTCAGCCGCAAGCACCTAGGCTTGGTCTTAGGCTGTAACTTTACCTGTGTCTATCTCTGTCCCTTTCTGACCTCCCTGTGCATAGGTGGACCTTGGACCTATGCTGCAGGTAGCCTTGTCCCCATTCCTGTCTCCCAGATGGACCTTGGACCTATACTGCAGCCTCGTCTCCTGTTCAGTCTCCATCTCCTGCTGCTCCTGGGCTCCCCCAGGCTGAATCATACTCCTTAGCTCACCTTACCTGGGGCTGTCACCGGAGGCTGCCCATGCTGCCACCACCTCCTCCCTTGCGTGTTCCTTTAAGGAGGGCACCCATGGCTCATCCTGCCCCTGGCTCTTGTTGCTTTTTGGCATGGAGCTGGGGTGGAAGGGGGTGCCGTCGCTCTGCTGAGCACAGAGTCTTCAGCACAGCAAATGCTCAGTTACACACTGGACCTGTTTCGATACTAGAGATGAGTTATTTTTTTCCTTTTCAGCTTGAGCATCTCCATGGCTTCTGAACTGGACAAGAGGGTTTCCTTTCTGCCATCTCTTGCTGTCTTTAAGGCCATCACAGTCAGACTTGCCTCTAGGGATACTGTGGCATTGGACAGCTGAAATTCAGTGCCCTGCTGAAAGCCAGTAACAGACTTTTGACCCTCTTAGCTATCCACTGGAGATGATGAGTATCATCAAAGACAAGGCAGCTCTACCAGTTTTTGCTGGGTGAAGGTTTTCCCCTATGCTGCCCTGATTAGGTTTAGGCTCTTTTCTCACAGAGCACAACAGCCAGCGTCTCTCCCTTTACACATCACTTATTCCCAGCTCCATGTTTGCAGGAGAGATGGATACAGGCAGACTGGTATAAACCCACAGACACTCATTTCTGCCTTTTGCTTTGATAGAGATGCACAGCTGAGTTTCACAGTTGGTGAAATCTGGACCCGAGGATGTCCACAGCAACCTTCCTCCTGGCTGCAGGGCAGGCAGCTGATCTCCAGGTGAACTGACTTGTCCAAGTGGGCCAGTTTTGCAGCAGGGAGATTATTTTCTTCTGCCCGGGCTGCTGTCTCTTTCAACATCTGTACACTCAGTTGTCCAGGTTCTCGCTGTGCCCTGCTTTGAGTGCTTGACCAGCATCTCAAAGTTTCCCTGCCTGCAGGTGAGCCCACATGAACAGGCAGGGACAGCCCCGGTGACATCCTCCGTTGTTCACCCACAGGATTGTGTGCTTCAGATAACCTCCCTGCTGACCCACTTTGATGCCTTGTGCCTTTCCTGCACCAGGTGGGAGGTTGGACTGGAGACCTGCAGATGTCCCTTCCCACCAAGACCTCCATGAGTCTGTGTACAGCGGGTGGTGAGCAATCTGAGGCAGGTGAGCAGGGAGAAAACAGGTATAGCTGATGGTTTTGCCTCTTGTTCAGTACAGCTCCAGGCACCTGATTTTGGGGCCTGGAGCTCAGGTAGCACATTCACAGCCCCCTCCCTGCTGCATTCAGTAGTGCCAGAGACACCCCTGGAGGATTCCTGGTTTTTAGGCTTGAAACATGTGCAGTGCCCCAAGCCTTGCAGGAGATGCCGTACGAAGCTTGTTTGCTTAAAGCTGCTCTACGTCTTGCTCCATCTCTGACACAAAGTCCACCCCCAGTGGCTGGAAAGAGGTAAATCATGTGGTTTTCCTCAGAGGAAAGCTGGCAGTAGGTGTAGGACAGCAATGTAGAGCTGCCTTGCAAGGGCACTGGGGTTTGTAGGAGCTGGGGAGGAGAAGCCCAGGAGAAGAGCATTGGGGGCAAAGAGGGACTTGAGGGCTTTGGCCGAACAAGAGACCATGTGTGCACTTCCCAAATCTGGGGGTGTCCCATGGGCTCTGGAAACTGCCTTCCTGCCACTGAGACACCCGAGAGCTGGGGAACCCTCGGTGCTGGTGGCTGGGACACCTTCCTCCTGCAGCTTCCCTTCTCTGCTTGATGGAGACACTGGAGTGCAATTTCCAGGGCTGGGCTGGAAATTGCCTGCCTTATTAAAAAGCATGTCTAAATTACTGGGTCTCTACGCATGGTCTAGGAAGGTCATAAAGAAATGTACTGACACACTTCACATCAAACTGACATCAGCTCTGCTGACCTGGGACATTTTTGATACCATTAGCTGCTTCTGCTTTGCCCCTTGGCAAGAAGCAATCACATTTCATTTCAAGAATTTATCACTGGAATTTGCAAAAGGCTTAAAAAAAAAAGTGTCTGGGTCTGGCTTTCTATCCTTAACAGCTCTGTCTGCAACATGCTGGCACGTCAGGCGAGTCTTTCCAGTGAGAAGGTAGGAAAAACTCTGCAGTGGAGGCTGTAGGGCTGTCCAGATGCTGAAGGGGTGACCAGGGAAGGGGATGGGCTGACTCTTGAGGACCATCACTCTGTGCTCCTCTGTACCCGCATGGGAATAAGAGAGCTGTTCCACAGCGCCAGGAGGTCAAGCTCTGCCCGACTGGTGCTGAAAACTGCTGTTTGACACCGACATTCTAAATGGGGTGTGAACGGTGAGGTGGCTGCTTTTGGTGATGGTATGAGTTACTCATCCAGGGGAGGATGCCCAGGAAGGGGTCAAAGGGGTCTTAGAGAACAGAGCAAGAAAACAGCAGGTCGTGTTCAATGTAGGTAACTGTAAAAGTGATGCAGGTGGGAATATGCAGTCCCACATGGACACATAAAACACAGGGCTCTGAGCTGAGCCTTACCGCTCAGGAGCAGCATCTTGTCCCTGAAAATGTCAGCTCAGCAAGGATCAAAAAAGGAAAGCGGTGAGGAAAGGTGGAGAGAAGAAAATAAAGGACATCATTTGGCACCCGTATGAACCCATAGTTTTCTCATCGTCATTCTTGTCTCAGAAAGGACACGATGGAAAGGCAAACAAGGACAATCAAAGATCCAAATGACCACGTGAGTGGTGGAAGCCAGGCTTTAAAACCAGATCAGAGGAGGTGGGGCTTTGTGCAGTGATGGTTGGGCTGTGCAACTCGTTGCTAAACGGTGCTAACTGCTTACAGAGATTCAAGGGGAGCCTGGAAGAGCATTACTAGCTGGGAACCATGTCTGGCTGAGGAAACCTCCTAGGCTGAAAGTAGTTGGAGGCCAGGAGAGTCCTCAGGGGAAGTATCAAATTTGCTTGCCCTGTCCTTAGTCTTCCTGGGGCTTCTGCTTGTGCTCAATACAGTACAGACTCGCCTCCCACCATACCACCATTCTGTGCTGTGGCGCATAGCTGCCTATACCACCAATGCAGCCATGAAAGCACGTGGTTGTTTACCATGGTTTCCTCCCACTGGGACATAAACAGGCTTGATTTTTAAGACAAACGATTTATGGTAAAAAACAAGCCATGGTTAGATGTGATGTCTCTGTTTTAACAGTCTGTCCTTTGTGTTCATGGTTGCCTGCCTCTGTCACCCCTGTTTTCACAAAAGCAGATGAAGGTGGCTCTTGGGTGGAAGAGCAAAAGTTTGGGTACCATTAACACAAGGAAATGCAAAGCAAGAGGCAACAGGCTGGCTGTTCCTGGATGGGGACCAGCAGGGAGATCAGGCTCTGGGAGGTGGGGAGGCTTATCTTGCAAAGCCCTGGAGTCATGGCATGTAGGGGTGCCTGCAGGGTTAGGAAGAAGGGGAGGTTTATTCCATGGAGTGGGACAATGAAGGATTTCATTGCACCTTTCTGCTCAGTTTTTTGTTTTTTGCTGGTGACTGCGTGACAAAACATCTCGATGTTGAAACACAGCAGTAATTCAGGTGCCTTCAGTTCTGCGTTGTCTCTCTGGCTGCAGCTGTCAGGCAGGACTACATCTCCCAGGCTACACTGTCCTGGCTGCTCTGGGAGGGGCTGGGGCCGGTGGGTGTGCTGCAGGAGGGACAATGCAGCCACCAAGCATGATGCATGGAGACCAGCAACATGAGCCTGTGGGTGAACATTATCCTGCAGGCATTGCAGCAGGAGAGGAGCACAGAAACTGCTCTGAAGTGGTCATCTTTTGCAGGAAAAAGAGGTGGCCTGTAGGCATGGTGGCTCCCAGGATTTGGTGGCCCCCTGCGCACGGTGGCTAACTGGCACAGTGGCCCATAGGCACAGTGAGCTGTGAGCATGGTGACTTCTGGGCACAGTGGCTCCCTGGGCACAGTGACCCTCTGAGAACGGTGGCCCATGAGCACAGTAGCTCCCTGGGGAGGGTGGCCTGTGGGCATAGTGTTTCCTGGGATTTAGTGTCTCCCTGGAGACGGTACCCCGTGGGTGGGCATGGTGTTTCCTAGGATTTGGTCACTCCTTGGGGATGGTGGCCCACGGTCACAGTGTTTCCCAGGATTTAGTGGCTCCCTGTGGACAGTGACCCTCAGGACATGGCGGTCCCCACCCACGGTGGCAGGTGTCCCCTGTGCACGGCGGCTCCCTTGGGACAGTGGCCCATGCGCACAGTGTTTCTCAGGATTTGGGGGCTCCCCGAGGCACCGGAGCCGGTGGGCACGGTGGTCCCTGCCCACGGTGGCAGCTGTCCCCTGTCCACCGCGGCTCCCAGCCATGGTGACCCAGGGACCGTGTGCCTCGGATCCGCCCTCCCCTGGCCGGTGCATTGCCGGGGCCGGTCC